GGGCTGTAGCTGAGGGTGAGATATGGTTGAGAGATGGAGCTGTGAGGAACTAGCAGGCCAGGTTGAAGACCCTCTGGATTCGGAGAGGGGAACTTGGGACAAAAATCTCTTGGGAAGGAGGAAGCTAGGTTCCGAGACCTCTTGCCAGAGCAGAGACTCCTAAGTAACAGGAAATAGCGTCATCCCTCAGCCAGAAACTGAACAAGACTCAATTTGGTGTTGCTCCTTCCAGGGACCCTCCATGGTTTGTGGAGAGTTTGGTCCCAAGATTTAGAGAGACAGAAGTGAAGAGGGAAGCAGGGAAGGCCAAGTGAGATAGGCTTGCTTTCTCAAGGGAAGGAGACATTGGTCCAACAGAGTACATTCTGCTATCTTGTAGCATGGGATGTAGCCAGCCCGCTCCCTTACTCTTACTGGTACTTTCCAGACTCTAGGTTGCTCCCTTGTCATTTTTGCCACCTCACCTGGCCTCTGGGAATATGAGGAGTTCACTCCATCTCACCAAGGGGCAGAAAAGTCCTTGGATTCTCTGAGCAATGGTGGCAGCAGACCTACTATAACCATAGATTTTTTTTTTAAATTAAACTTTATTTGGAAAATTTGCAGGGATAGTACTGTCAACTTTTATATATCCTTCATTTACATTCACCCAGATAAATGCGTACATGCTCATGCTGTCTCTGTATATGTATATATATATGTCATATTATAAATGTTATTTTTATCCTTTTTTTCTCAAGTATTTAAGAATAAGTTATAGACTTATTCTATACTTCGGTGGGCATTTCCTAAGAACAAGAACATTTTCCTATATATATAGTGCAGTTTTAAAAACCAGGCAGTTAACACACTGATTTAATACCATTACCTAATCCACAGTCCCTATTCAGATGTGAACCAATAATATCATTTCATAGCAACATTTCCTTTTTCATTCCAGAATCCAATTCAGGATCACAAGCTACCTTTAGTTGACATATCCATTTGGTCTCCTTTAATGGGAATCAGTTCCTCAGTTTTTGTCCTTCATGAAGTCAACATCTGTGAAGAGTATAGGCCACCTATTTTGTGTTACTGTCACTCAACATGATTTTGTCTGATGTTTCTTCGTGATTTTCATCCACTGATGCTGCCATCTCATTTAAAGGTGAAGGAAGTGACTCTCCCAGGCCACAAACCTAGATGGTCACAGAGCCAGGGCCAGAACACAGGCTTCCAGCCACACATTCGCTAGCACATTTGCCACACCACCACTCAGCTGGTGTCTTGCAGCCATAAAGACCAGGCTGAGGCTGAGTAGCTAAGTCCAGGAGGATGAGGGAGGGAGTGTACTCTTTTAGAGAACTGAATGGTTATCCAAAGCTGGGTTAACTGCCCCAGCCTGCTGAGCCCCAGACCTTTCCTGCCAGCTCAGTCCCTGGTGGACAGTTCAGTTCTCTCAGAGAACCCTCTCCCCCTTGTAAAGCCCTCCTGTGGCTTCCCTCATGTTGAAAAAAGGCAGTAGAACAGTAATTTGTAAATAATGAATTGTGTGTGTGTGCGTTTCAGTTATAGATTAGAATCAGAAACATTCTACCACCCAAATCAAAGCACTAATAACATTTTATTGTATTTCATGCTGAAAGCTTTTCTACACATAGATTTTTTTTAATAATGGGATTGTGGGAGTTGTTTTTAACTTGAGATGTAATGTGCATAGAGAACAGTGTGTAGCTTAATAATTGTTCCATATGTGCATGCTCACATAGCCACCACCTAGATTGTAATAGAGAACATTTACAGCACTCTAAAGCCTTCCCCTACCCCTCCCACACAATGCCTAGTCACAACTATCACATAGGTTAGGGTGGCCTGTTTCTGACTTTCATATACATTAAATTCAAACAGTAGATCATACTTTTTTTAAACTACTTTTTTGACTTACTGGTATAGTTTGATTTATGTATTATTTAAACAGAGTATTTTACCTAACATTCAAGGAAATCACTTTTTAAATTTCTTCTATAGAAGAGACAGGAATCTAAGTAGTTAATCTTAACACGATTAAGACAAATTCGTTATTATATCATGTGAACAGGATGTTCCTGGAAATGTTCCATATCCTGATGGCGTGGGGGTTAGTTATGTGGGCAAATGAATACATTTGTCAAAACTCATTGAAGTATACAATTAAACTGGATTCATTTATTATATGTAAATTATATCTCGATAAAGAAAAAAATATTCTTTTTTTAAAATTTTTATTTATTTATGATAGTCACAGAAAGAGAGAGGGAGAGAGGCAGAGACATAGGCAGAGGGAGAAGCTGGCTCCATGCACCAGGAGCCCGACGTGGGATTCGATCCTGGGTCTCCAGGATCACACCCTGGGCCAAAGGCAGGCGCTAAACCGCTGCGCCACCGAGGGATCCCAGAAAAAAATATTCTTAAAGGCATAATAAGCTCACTGCTCAGTCCTGATAGCTAAATGCCTATTTTACACTAACTTTGCTGTATGAGCCATGCTTTCTGACCTATACAGTATTTCAAAACATTTTGATATGAGCCATGCTTTCTGACCTATACAATATTTCGAAGCATTTTGATGGTGGATATTTATTGTTCACTGAGAAAAGTAAATCATTAACTCATTTAGTACTAGTGTTAAGAATTTTTCCATATGTGTATCCTCATGTACCGACCACCCAGATCATGACAGAGAATATTTCCAGCACTTTAGAATCATTTCCTTTTTCAAAAGATGATTTGTAAAAAACAAAACCAAACAAAAGATGATTTGTCAGTAGATTGGTGAGAAAAGGCTTCTGTAAAACAAAGCTAGAAGAATGTATTCATTTTGAAAGAGTTTTTTCCTCTTGAATCTGGTGTCTTCTGTTAATCACTAAACTAACTGGAAGCTTTTGATAGGGCCATTTTTCCAAAATGGTTGAACCAAATTACAATCCCAGGAGCCATGCATGAGAGCCCTTGTAGTTCCTAAGTGTGGATTTTTAATTCCAGGCTATAGATTAATGACACAGTATTTTCAGAACTCTTTATTAGGTTTCTCACTTCTGTGGTCGGGAAACCTAAACATTCTTTATTAATAATGTTTTGTATCAATTTAGTTCAACATTTCCTAATGTATGGATGTTTTGGAAATTGAAAGCCTCCGTATTCTAGTAGTCTGATTTAATTACAGTGCCAGTTAATTTAAGAGAAAAAAGTTAATATTGTGATTTTTTATTTTCACTGCAAATTCACAGCTTTTATAGACTAAAAGTTTGTGAACAACATGTGCGTTCATATGGAATTACTGGACCATGAAGTATTGATGTTTGGCTTTGGTAGATATGGCCAGTTTGTTGGTAGATATGGTAGTTTGTTCTTACCACTCCTCCTGGCATGGTTGGAACCTTGAGGCTGGCTCCTCCCCCCCTTTGCTAAGACCCATCACTGAAGAAGTGTCTTAGTTTTCTGGCACTCAGGATTACAGAGGTGCTTCTTGTGTTCTTTGCCCCAGATGTGGACTCAGCTGTTTTCCAAGGAGCTCTAGTTCTTTTTTAGGGAAATCAGTGAAAGAGATCAGAATCTGGGCACTAGCTGATTTTTTGTGAAACAGCTACAAAAGATTCAGGTTTTAAAATCATGAGTTATCCCATTGATGATTTTTCCATTAAACATTCAAGTACATCATAAAATATTTACACTCTTAAACTATGATCTGCTCTTTTCAATTTAAGTCATGTAGTTATCTCTTTAAACATCTTAAAAATAACTGTCGTTTGTTCTCATCTGTTGAAAATTATTATTATTATTTTTTAAAGATTTTATTTATCCATTCATGAAAGACACAGAGAGAGAGGCAGAGACACAGGCAGAGAGAGAAGCAGACTCTATGCAGGGAGCCCGATGCGGGACTCGATCCCGGGACCCCAGGATCACACCTTGGGCAGAAGGCAGGGGCTAAACCTCTGAGCCACCCAGGGATTCCCCTTAACAACACTTAATATGTTGGATGAATAACAAGGTGTACCCTTTCAGTAATCATTTGTACCACAATGTAAATAACTGTTAGTTTTACTAATGTTATGTGGTTATTTTATTTTGCTTTGAGTTCTTTGTAGTAAGTTACGAAAGCCCTTTTTCAGTATATACTTTTCTTTTAAATGATAATATAATTTATTAGAAAAGCATCCCAAATATAGGATTTCATCAGCACCGATAGGTGAACATGTACAACTTTAAAAGTAAACGAAGAGGCAAATCCGAAGCATTTTGCCTTCAAGAGAAAATGTATTGTTCGGCAGGGGTGATCCCTCTCAGAGCATGAATGTGGATCCATTTTTCTGGGCCAGTTATTTGTTTTAAGGATTTTGTTTGTTTGTTTGTTTGCTTTTTAAAGATTGTATTTATTTCTTCATAAGAGACACAGAAAGAGAGAGGCAGAGACATAGGGAGAGGGAGAAGCAGGCTCCATGGAGGGAGCCCAATGTAGGACTCTATCCCAGTATTCCAGGATCACGCCCTGGGCTGAAGGCAGACGCGGTTAACCGCTGAGCCACCCAGGAATCCCAAGGATTTTGTTTTTTAAATAAATTTTCACTTCTTACTCAGCAGCTTTTACTTCTTCGGAGGTCTGTTTTATGCATCCATCTTCTGAATTGAATGGCACCATTTTTTTTTCTTCTATCACAGTGATTTAAAGGATAGGTTTTTTTTTTTTTTTAAATTTTTTTTTTTTTTTTTTTTTTATTTATGATAGTCACAGAGAGAGAGAGAGAGGCAGAGACACAGGCAGAGGGAGAAGCAGGCTCCATGCACCGGGAGCCCGACGTGGGACTCGATCCCGGGTCTCCAGGATCGCGCCCTGGGCCAAAGGCAGGCGCTAAACCGCTGCGCCACCCAGGGATCCCAAGGATAGGTTTTTGTACAATATTTATGTAGAGACTTTGAAGGTTCTGAGATGGGCCTGGTCCCTCACAACTCTGTTCTCTCTTTCTCCATCTTCCTCCCCCCAGTCTCTGTCTTCACAGGACTCAAATCTTTTTCCAAGAACAGCAGAAAATGATTGAGTACCAGGTAAGTGTGACGTAAAGTAGCCAAAGTTCCCTTCTTGGGAAAGTGTGCTAGAAAAAATATGTGCATTCAAGCATATATACTTTATCGCAGGCTGGGTTCTCAGAAAACAGACTTGGGGATGGAGATTTGCACACATGCAGTTTACTAGGGAGACCTATAAGGAGTGAAGGAAGCAGGATTAGACAGAGGGCGTTAAACAGAGGCACGAGCTGACTTTACCACATGCTTTAGAGCTGGGATGGCTCTTGCCATTTTCCTGAATAGAGGAAGGAGACTTTGATATTCTGAAATCAACCAGTCATTGGTTGTAGGCTGCCCCGTGGAGGGGACATAAGCTTGATGGGTAGCAGCCTTTGACCCAGGGCTCTTTGCAAAAGGTCTCAAGCCTGCAGTAGCCAGTCTTCTCCTGGTAGCTGGGAGATATACCTCAGTTCCTCAGGGGGATTTGGGTGGAACACCACATCTTCTATCTACACGTAGATACAATGGCAAGACCTTTGTTATACATACTAATCTACCCTTTTTTTTCTTCAATTAAAATATCCTAGAGATTGTACATGTTAGTACTTGGGACCACACCATTTTTTTTTTTTATCAAGGTACATAACGCTCCATCACACACATGGAATATGACTGATTTAACCAGTCCTTCATTTTATAACATTCAGGTAATTTCCAAATTTGATATTACAAGGAATGATGCAAGGAACCTTCTTTGTTGGAATACAGATGTACAAAACAGTCCAACAACAGTCCTTAATTGTGGTCTTCCTGGTAGCCCAGCAAAAAGGCAAACACAACCCATGATTTGCATTGGCCATAGGATAGAAGCATGCTGTTATTTCTAAGAGAAAACTAGCTTTTCAAGGCAGTTTCTAAAGACATTTCCCAGAGGGGTCTTCTTATGGCTGTAGTAGAGGAACACTGCTGCTAACCATGTGGTCCCAGGACATGGGCTTCTCCTGGGAGCTTCTTAGACATACAGAATGTCTAGACCTAGACCCCGGACCTGCTCGAATCAGGTTATTTGAGGGTGGAGCCTGGAGATGTGTGTTGAACAAGCTCTCTGTGGTCCTTATGCTCTTGTAAGTGTGAGAAGCACTAGCATAGAGGACAGAAATCTAAACGATAATGAACAAATGCAGAAGCATGTTTTCTACAGTGGTTCAGCTCTTCCCTTGGAGTTGAGTGTTAGCCCCACAGAACTCCTGGGTTTTGAAATGACCAAAAGCATCATGACTTAGCTTCCCAATGATGAGATAGTGTTTTCATCTGTGTGAGAGTTACAGGAAGTTCCAACTTCTCTATGCTTTGCAGCCCATATATGTAATGGAATAAAATGCTAAGTTAGAAGAAGGTGAAAACACAAATGTTATTTATTTTCGAAGGGAGCAGCAGACAAGAAGCTTCCTCCATTTGTATGGAAGTCCTGATTTTGATCCAGGGTATCTGTGTCCTTGAGCTAGACTGAGGAACAGAAGAGCTGTCTATTATTTAAATTACTATCATTCCCTTAACTATCTTTATTAGTTTGGCAACAAACTGAACATCTTATTCCCTACCAAGTCTCAGTGTGAAGTGTTCCCAATTCCCCTTACCTTCCTCACCATCTTAAGATGATGGAGGGCCCTGTGTCTTGATGAGACTCCCCCTTAGCCCCTGGGTTCTTGTATTTCCACCTCTTTGGAGCCCTCCCTCCAGCAAGGACATCTCTTTCTGGAGACCCATCCTCTCCCCTTTCCCAGATCTCTTCCCTTGTCCCTACAACCATTGTCAGTGCCTCCAGCGCTAGAAACTGTCACCACTTCCAAACCACAAGTCCTTTCCTTTCTCCCCTAGCCTCCTTCATCTCCTGTAGTGACTTCTGATCTTCATGTTTCCATATCCTGTTTCTTACTCTTTTTTTTTTTAAGATTTTATTTATTCATTCATGAGAGACACAGAGAGGAGAGAGGCAGAGACACAGGCAGAGGGAGAGGCAGGCTCCATGCAGGGAGCCCGACGCAGGACTCGATCCCGGGACTCCAGGGTCACGCCCTGGGCTGAAGGCAGGCGCTAAACCGCTGAGCCACCCAGGGATCCCCTTCTTACTTTTTCTTGAGTCTAACATCTTCTCTCCCCACTTTACTAAGACTATTCTGGCCAGCATCCCAGGTGACTTTGCTGAGGCTGAAATAAGAAGATGCTTTTTGATTGTTCTGCTAAGTTAGACTGTACCTTTCGCCCCTTCTTCTGTGTTCAATGCAACCGCATATACTGGGTAGGAGCACAGACTTAGAACTAGACTACTGAGTTTGAATTCCAGTCCTTACCATCTGTATGACCTTGCACAAGTCTTGGAACTTCTTTGTGCCCCAGTTTCCCATCTCAGGAGATGGTACCATCCCACTGGGCAAGTCAGAAGCCTGAGATTTGTCCTTGACTTCTCCCCATCTTCCCCCCTCATACTCAGTCACTAAGTCATGCTAATTTTACAACCTTAATGTTTATTCGATATCTTTCCTCTTCATCCCTGTGTTTGGTGAAAATGGCATGGCCTTTTGGGTACCAAATTACATCTTTTCTATTTTCTATCACATCCAATCCCATCCCATCCCATCCCACTCCAATTAGCTCTATTTGGGAAATACCTACCCAGAGCCCGTCAACTGAGCCAGGCCCCATGCTCTGTAATAAAAGCCTGATTGTTGCTCTCCACTATCATGGTATGTTATTCTGGCATCAGAGAGTATATCTGGTTGGTATCTCCTATACATGGTCTTTGTATGGGTCTTAGGGTCTCATGTACCAGCATCTGTGGCTTTACTCTGGTTTGGGTCCTGCCTTCAGGTACATCTGCTTAGGCCACTGCTCAGGTGCCACTGAAAGACCCCACATTTTTCAAAGAGATGTACCAGCCTCCCCTGAGGTTGACCTGATGCCTGTGACCCAAAGCCCCCACCAGAAATCACATTACTAGACTATCTCATGTGGCCCAAGGCTCCTAGGTAGACAAAGACAGACATATCAAGCAGAACATTCCAGGGGCTTAGAGAATAACTCTCAGGAGCTGAGTGTAAAGATGAGACCTCTCTTTGGGCAAGGTTCAATTCTTTACAGTCACTTGAAGATCTATCGTAGGTACTGTTTCCTCTCCTCATAGGAATAGGGGAGTTTTTTCCTCTATACCAAGTAATTCTCCAATTCTCTAATTCTTTGTGGACACCAACTGGGTGTCCTACAACTTAGTTCAACTTGGAGTTAGCACAAACCCTATGAATTAGGGACTCAGTCTCACAGGACTGTTTCCCCCTTCAGATACTAATTGTAAATCCCAGATTGTCACCTGGACTTCTAACTTCTAGCTATAAATTGGGGGTTCCTATGACCCCCTCTTCAGTTCTGAAAATTTACTATAATCACAGAACTCTGGGAGACACTTTTCTCACTAGTATGGGTTTATTATAAAGGATACAAATGAAAAGCCGGATGACAAGGTACAGAATGGTCCTGAGCACATGAACTTCTGTGTGGAGTTTAGGGTGTGCATCTCCCCAGATGTATTCACCAACCTGAAAGCTCTTGAGTGTTTTCATGAGATTTTCTTTCTTTATTTTTTAAAGGTTCACAGAAGGGGATCCCTGGGTGGCGCAGCAGTTTGGTGCCTGCTTTTGGCCCAGGGCGCGGTCCTGGAGACCCTGGATCGAGTCCCACTTCGGGCTCCTGGTGCCCTCTGCCTGTGTCTCTGCCTCTCTCTCTGTGTGTGTGACTATCATAAATAAAATAAAAAAATTAAAAAAAAAAGGTTCACAGAACTTTCTTCAATTTATTGTTTTTTAAGATATTTATTTATTTATTTATTTGTTTATTTATTCATGAGAGACAGGGAGAGAGAGAGAGAGGCAGAGGCACAGACAGAGGGAGAAGCAGGCTCCACGCAAGGAGTCTGATGTGGCACTGGATCCTGGTATTCTGGGATCATGCCCTGAGCCAAAGGCAGATGCCCAACCGCTGAGCCACCCAGGTGTCCCTCATGAGATTTTCCTTATTTAGGCATTGTTGATTGAATCATTGATTGATAATTATTCAATCTCTGGTACCGCCCACCCACCCCAGTGGCTGGGTGGTAGGGAAGGATGCTGGAAGTTCCAACCCTCTAATCACATTGGTTAGTTTCTCTGATGACCAGACCCCTCCTTGTCATTAGCATAAATTCTTATTTTGTTGACTGGGGCTTGTTAGGAATAACAAAAGACACTCCTATTACCACTATTACAAAGTTACAAGGGTTTAAGAAGTTCTGTTCTAGGAACCAGGATGGAAGGCAAAATGTATATTTCTTAATGTATCACAATATCACAGGCATCCTCAGGTTAGTACCTGTGGGTCCTTCTCTGGATCTCTAGCTATCTATTAGTGTCCATTGGGGCTCTGGCCTGGGCACTTTGCTCATCCTGTCTCCCTGCAGAGAAATCCCACACTGACAATGTTAGCTACCACTTCTCTGCTGGTGGTTCCCAGAGCTTTAGCTCCCTTTCTGATATTGCTCTTGATACAAGACTCATATGTCCATCCTGCTGCCTGCTAAGTGTCTCCACCCATGTGTCCCTACATGTCTAACAACACCTCCTCTTTGCTTCTGCTGTTTGGTTCTTACGTCTGATTTACCACCACCATCACCCAGTTGGCTTTGAGAGAGTTGGGTGTTACTGTTACCCCTCTTTTACTCCCCACAACCAGTTAAAAGTGGAGACTCTGCTCTTCTTTACAATGATCCTTTGCCGTCTCACTGTTACTATCTCACCTGTGAACACGGTCTTCCACCTGCTATTATTCCACCGCGTTATAACACTCTTTACCTCTCCCCAGGTCACCCACCACATTTCTCTCTGTATCCATTCACTTTCAAATTATGTGTGAGTTTTGTATCTCTTACAGGCATCGCTTTTTTATCCAGCCTAACGATCTCTGCCTTTTGGAGTGTTCAGTCATAGATTAACTTATGTTATAATTTACTGTCATTTAATATGAATATAATTATTGGTATGGTTGGACTTCTATATATCTTTTTAGTATTTGGTTTTCTGTTTGTCCCATGTGCTTTTGTTCCTTTATTTTTTCTCTTATGTGTGTGTTTGTGTGGATTAAATGAGTATTTTTGGAATTCATTTACTTCAGTACACCTCTGCACCATGATTTTAGTGGTTACTCTGGGGATACAATATCTGTCCTTAACTCTTCAGTCTGCTTAGAATTACCACTGTACCACTTGACATGGAGTGTAAGAAACTCACCACATGCCTCATAGAATGTGCTTTCTATACATATCTTCCCCCGATTTTCCATTGTCTTAAAATCCATCATCTCATCACTCTCATCAGTCCCCTGTATACTCCTGTTACTGAGAGCCTCGCAGCCCATAAAGTCACTGTTCTCCATTCCCATGTTCATGCTACTCCCTCTGCAAGGATTACAGCTTCTCCATCTTTCTATAGAGAAGACTCAGCTCCAATATCCCCCAGCTCTGACGCCTTGCTAGACCTTGAAACATTTAATGGACCATTCACACTTTTCTACATGCTGTAACCTAGATGTCCTGCCACCATAGCTCTTATACTTTCAGCTGGATGGCTTTACATATTGCTTTCTTGCCAGGCTGTGAGAGCTTGAGTTAGGAACCATCCATGACTATGTCTCCAGCAACCCTCACTAGGGTACACAGAACAAGTCTTCTTTAATTAATATATGTTGACTCAAAGTGTATATGAGAGTGGGTTCCAATGTGATTGTTATTTTTCCTACCATATAAAGCCCAAAGCCAGGAATGTAAGAGGCATTCTAGATAGATAAATGATCATGATAAACTCTGATCTAGGAGCATAAACACTCTATACCATCCACCTCTGGCAGCATTTTTCCCATGTGACTTAATGTCATTTCGTCTTCAGCAGAGACCTGTGTCATTCAAAGATGTGGTAGTGGGCTTCACTCAGGAGGAGTGGCATAGGCTGAATCCTGCCCAGAGGGCGCTGTACCGGGATGTGATGTTGGAGACCTACAGCAACCTTGTCTCAGTGGGTAAGAACAGCTCCACCACACAATCTAGATTATGCTTGAATAATCCTTCCTTTTTCAGTTGCTAAAATTAACTGAGGTACCTAGAGCATTTGTAGTACCAAATACTTCCTATGTGCCAGACACTATTTCAGCCACTTTTAAAATATTAACTTATTTGAATTCTCCTAAAAGCCTTACAAGGTAGGTACTATTGGTACTACTATTTTACACATTTGGAAACAGAGACACATTTTGGAATTCGTTGTGAAGGTGAAGATAGGTGAAGTAACTTGCCCAGTGTCACTCACCTAAATCCAGTGTAGGATTTGAACCCCAGCAGTCTGGCTGCACAGTCCACATTCCTAACTCTTACACTGTGCTGCCTCAGTGAGTTTGGCTTGAGGTTCAGTGGTCCTGAATTACTAATTCCTTTTGGGTTCTGGATGAGGTGTGTGTACAGTCTTCTCCCAAGTACAATGTCTGTTGTGCAGCCTTTAATGCTGCCTGAGTGGCCCTGAAGACCAAGGAGCTCAGCCCAAGGCCTGGATCATTTCCCTGGAACAGGTTATGAAGGCACTAAACCATATGTGATCCTCAAGCTGGAGCAGGAAGAAGCACCATGGATTTGTGAGGCAGCATGCTCAGGCTGCCACTGTCAGGGTGAGTATAAATGTAGCAAAAGAGGCACTTTCAGAGGCTAGCACCTTTTGGATTTCATTCAGAGTCCAGTTCTCAAAAGCCTTAGAGCTTTGCAGGCAACTGGAGACATTTCTCGGAGAGCTTTAGCTTTCTTGATGACCCTTCAAAATCCATGCACCCCACCTCCTTATCCAGATGTTCCTTCTCCTTCTCATCTCACCTCTCCTGTCTTCTTGTTCCATTGCCCTTTCTCTAGAATCTTTGGCCTCTCTTAAAGTTATCTTTAAGTTATCTTAAGTTATCTTAAACCTTCTCTTTCACATTCAGGCATTCTTACAAATAAGTTTCTGTCGTTCTCCCACTCCTGTTGGTTCCTTCCTATCTCCTGTTCTCACAGTTTCCAAGTAAAATGCCCTAGACCTGCCTGCCATACCCACACTTTCACTTCCCATTCTTTCCTTAATCCCTTAGTTATCCCTAAGTCCTTTAGTTTCCTTAAGTCCAAGAGGAGGAAGTACTGAATTTCGGGTAACCTGGGCAGGAAAGCAGATGACTAAGCTTGGCCCATCTTAACCACATTCATTTAACATTCAGAATAATTTCCTCTCCCATCAGCTCTGTAAAATATCCCAACAATACTCATGGTACTCCAAGTGTTGGTAACCTACTCTTAAGGATGCCCATGAACTTCTACTTGTCCACAAGTCATGGACTTAGTAAGAAGAATCATTGCTATCTCTTCCCACATCTGTTTGTGCCACTTATGCTCCATGTTGTAATCACATAATTGAATTAAAGATGAACCCCAAAGACATTCAAGTCATTTTCCTGCTTCTCCCCAAAATGATGTCTCTGAAATTACCACCATTCACCTTCCATCCACTTTGGTTGTAATAGTAGTAGCAGCAAAGCACTAGAATTATTGGTGAACACTCAGTCTGTGCTCGCTCTATGCCAGATTTGTTCTCAACCATTTACATACATCCTTTTATTCAGTCCTTACAACACCTGTGAGATATCCAGCCTTTGTTACCCCATATACAAATGAAACAATCACAGAAATGTTAGGAAACTTATCTAAGAACATATAGCAAACTAAGGGACCGAACAGAGATTTGAGCCCATGTGGTCTGGTTTCAGAACAAGTACTCTTAACCATCACACTCTGGTGCCATGGGGTGTATTTTGTTTCAATAAACTGTGCTCATCAGCCTTCATGAAATCATTGTAACCTGTCTATCAGCTACCTTTTTCCTCTTTTAAGAGCCACACATTGAATAGCAAGGTGCTATATGACACCTCAGTAACAGGATTGACAAACCACAGACTCTAGTTTGGCCACCTGATTTTGTGAATAAAGTTCTGTTGGAATACAGCTGTGTCCTTAGTGTCCTTATATTTACATACTATGTACCCCAAATACAGTGGAAATGTTGAGTAATTTTGACTGAGACCAAATGGCCTACAAAGCCTAAAATTTATTCTCTGGCCCTTTAAGAACATGTTTGCCAACTACAACTCTACAATATTCAATCTTCCTCAGAATTACTTCTTTGTATACACTCTGACATATTCCATTTCATTTGTGCCAGTGTTGTGAATCTTCTCTACCTTGTACAACACCTTTCCTTGCATTTAGTTATGGCTCATGCTTTCTTTTTATATATACTGTGCATCATTTAAATTCTTAGGGTGTTTCTCTAGTAATTTTATTCTAGATCATAATAATAGAATAAAGAAAGGTTTGCTGTATTTTCTCCAGAAAACATCTGTCAAGTTAATGTCCAGAGGAAAAGACAAGACATGATTTTGAAACAAGGTGCATTCATCAGCAAGAAAACATTGCCCAAGGAAAGAAGCCATGAAAACAGTAAGTTTGGGAAAATACCAACTCTGAGCACTAATCTTTTTTCATCCATCCAGAACCCCAGTAACTGGGACCCCTGTGGAAAGAGTGTGAACCATAATTTAGACTTGATTAGTTTTAAGAGACACTATTCAAAAAAACAAAATGAGTGCTGTGGATGTGGGAAATTGTTACAGCATACAAACCACGATAGAAGACCTAATGGAGAAAGACTCTGGGAATGCAGTCATTGCGAGAAAGCTTTCAGCCACAACCCAGCACTTATGTATAAACCAGCAGCAACCAATTCTCTTGTATACAAACGTAAGAGGGTTCCACCTACAGAGAAACCCCATGTCTGTAGTGAGTGTGGGAAAGCATTCTGCTACAAGTCTGAATTCATTAGGCATCAGAGAAGTCACACTGGGGAGAAGCCATATGGATGCACTGACTGTGGGAAAGCCTTTTCACATAAGTCAACTCTCATTAAACATCAGCGAATTCACACTGGGGTAAGACCCTTTGAATGTTTTTTTTGTGGGAAAGCCTTCACTCAGAAGTCACACCGCAGAGAACATCAAAGAACACATACTGGAGAGAGACCCTTTGTGTGCAGTGAATGTGGGAAATCATTTGGTGAGAAGTCATACCTCAATGTACATCGAAAAATACACACAGGAGAAAGACCATATCGTTGCAGAGAATGTGGAAAATCCTTTAGCCAAAAGTCATGCCTCAATAAACATTGGAGAACTCATACAGGAGAAAAACCTTATGGATGCAGTGAATGTGGCAAAGCTTTTTACCAGAAGCCAAACCTTAGTAGACATCAGAAAATTCATGCCAGAAAGAATGCCTATAGGAATTAAAACCTAATAATTGTGAGAAAGCCTTAAGCAAGGTATCCTATTTAATTATATGTGGAGGTGTTCATTTTTAGGAGAAATCTTATTGATTTAATGAATCTGGGCAAGATGTTTTACCATAAGGGAAGTCATGTTCTAATTGTGATATAAATTTTTATACAAAGATTATAGAAAATACTTTATAAAACATAAACATCTCTTAAGGTCACTTTGGCTTATGAAGTTCAGAAATATGTTAATGGGATGACAACAGCATATAAAATATATGTGAAGAGAATTGGTATATTATGGTATATTCCACAGTTAGCCACATAATAAGCATTATTTATATTTTGGGAGTGTAAATGTGAATTTAATGTAAATTGTGAATAACAAAACACATGTGTCAAATACTATGTAGAATGCCACTCATCAAACTTTTCTACTCTAAATATCACCATTGTCTTTCAGTGTCTTAACAATATAAAAATAATGATAATAACATCTGTTAATGTTGAAAAGCCAAAGCTAAAGAATAGTTTCACAGCCTAATATTGGATGAGCAAAATACTATAAACTTGATTACTCAGCACAGCCATTATTTGACAAAAAGTAGTGTGGCCCTGGTATTGTGCATATTTTCTAATTTCTTTTTTTTCTTCTATTTTCTTAGTCTTGCTTAACATGCCTTGTAACAAATGAGTAGGAGAGACGCTGTTTATATGAGTCTTATAATTGAGAAATATTTCATGCAGAGACCAAAGAAGGAAAATTTTTCTTTTTGCAAACTAGTTCAGCAACATCCACTTTTCTTCCCTATCAGTTTCCCTGTGAATGCCCTGGGCACAAAAACACAAGTTGTTTCATCTTTCCAATCTTTGAAAAAAGTCTACTTCCTTGAGCTGCCATGTCATCCAAATAAATAAAACAAATGGCCACATTGTTCAAGATTTGCCTCCCTATAAGAATGCCTGATCAAGAATAAGAAAGGAAGTAATCACATGAGCATTGGGTATTGTTTGTAAGTGATGAATCACTAAATTCTATATCTGAAACTAATATTACACTGTTTGTTAACTAACTGGAATTTAAATAAAAACTTGGAAAAAAAGTAACATAATCACAGATAAAGATATAATTAAAAGAATGATAAAAGATACTTCTTACAACTCTAGAAGAACATGCTTTTAAAAGAGGAAATAAATGTTTTTTCTAGCAAAATGTAAGTTAGAAAAGTTGCAATAAGAAGTAGAAATTTGGGGCACCTGGGTGGCTCAGTGGTTGAGCGTCTGCCTTTGGCTCAGGGCATGATCTTGGGGTCCCAGGATCAAGTCCCACATCGGGCCCCCCACGGGGACTCCCTCTGCCTATGTCCCTGCCTCTCTCTGTGTGTATCTCATGAATAAATAAATTAAATATATTTTTTTAAAGTAGTAACTTAATAGAACAATTACCATTGAGTTTGGAAAAGTGATTAAAGATGTAGGATTGAAAATACTCCAGTCCCAGATGATTTCGTAATTAGTTTCATCTAACTTTTTTCATAGGCTCCATGCTCAGCATGGAGTCCAACATGGAGCTTGAATTCATGACCCCGAGATTGAGACCTCAGCTGAGATCTAGAAACTCTTAAAGAGTGGTACCAGTGCTACTTGAAAAATTACAGCCCATAGACTATGTTCCTCAATTTATTTATGAAGTCAGAATAAGTTTTAACACCAAACCCAAATAAAAATAGTGGAAAAAAGAAAACCCCAAACCAGTTTTATTCATGAATTTAGAAACAAAAATTAAAATAATAGCAAATATAATTCAGCAGGATGTTTTTTTTTTTTTTAATTTTTTTATTTATTTATGATAGTCACAGAGAGAGAGGGAGAGGCAGAGACACAGGCAGAGGGAGAAGCAGGCTCCATGCACCGGGAGCCCGACGTGGGATTCGATCCCGGGTCTCCAGGATCGCGCCCTGGGCCAAAGGCAGGCGCCAAACCGCTGCGCCACCCAGGGATCCCCTCAGCAGGATGTTTAAAGAATGATATATTATAATGACCAAGTAAGAATTATTGCAAGAATACAGAGCCAATCCAATAATAGGAAATACATCAATGAAATGAACAGTTTGAAAGAGAAAATTGCCATCAGTAGATGCTGAAATGGTATTTAATTAAATTTTGCAATCATTTCCAATCATCAAATATATAGTATAAACCTAATAAAAAATATATACTAACCACTTAAGAGTATCTTTACCAAAATTCTATAGCATTTATTATGTTAAAACTTTTTTGAAGATGAAGAACTTAGTAATATTAGAGATAAAGGTGTTTACTACTATTTTTTACTAAATATTGTCTTGGAGTTTTCAATGAAAGCAATAGAAAATAAAATTAAGTAATTGGTGTAAACAGTAAAAAAAAAAAGGTAAAACTTCTTACTGATGATATGATTGTATATCAGTAAATGAAGAGACTTGTAATTGTCTTGAGTTAAAAGATAATTTTTTGAGATGACAGTATAGAAATTAAAAGCTACTCTCAGGATCCCTGGGTGGCTCAGCATTTTAGCACCCTTTGGCCCAGGGCGTGATCCTGGAGTCCCGGGATTTAGTCCCACATCAGGCTCCCTGCATGGAGCCTGCTTCTCCCTCTGCCCGTGTCTCTGTCTCTGTCTTTCTGTCTCGGTCTGTGTGTGTGTGTGTGTGTATGTGTTTATCATGAATAAATAAAATATTTTTAAAAAGCTACTCTCTGTAAACATCTCATAATTTATATGCACTTCTTTTGGAATACACTAAATGTCTGTGCCTTTTTTTTTAATCTTATGGGAAATGATCTTAAAGCCCATATGGAAGAACATTTGTTCTAACAATCTAGACAAGAAAAGTGTGAAAAAGAAAATTTCATACCAGTTGTCAGAACATAATATGAAGTAACACTTTTTTAAAATTAATAAAATATTGACAAAGGAGTCAATAATTACATCAATGGAACAGAATAGAAAATCCTGAAATAGACTTTTTTTTTAATTTTTTTTTATTTATTTATTTATTTATGATAGTCACAGAGAGAGAAAGAGAGAGAGGCAGAGACACAGGCAGAGGGAGAAGCAGGCTCCATGCACTGGGAGCCCGATGTGGGATTCGATTCCGGGTCTCCAGGATCGCGCCCTGGGCCAAAGGCAGGCGCCAAACCGCTGCGCCACCCAGGGATCCCCTGAAATAGACTTTTATATGAGCTTTCTCATATATAAAAGGTAGAATTTCAAACCATAGGGGAAAGGAATAGTTTATTAAAAAAGAATTCTGGGATAATTAGCTTTTAATCAGGAAGGAAGTAAAATTAGACTAGTGGCCCCATGTTTTAAAAATGTTTTTAAAAAAAATCCAGGTGGATTTAAGATTTAATTTTTTTAAATAATAAAATGAAAATGAAAGGAGACTATATGTACAATCTAGGAATTGGAGAGATTAACTTTACCAACACAGAATACTCAAAAGCTATTAAAAATTAAAAATTGGCTGCTGGGGTGGCCCAGTCTGTTAAGCCTCTGACTCTTGATCTCAGCTCAAGTTTTGATCTCAGTCATGAGTTCAAGCCCCACACTGAACTCCATGCTGGACATGGAGTCTACTTAAAACAAACAAACAAACAAAAAAGCCCACAAATAACAGGAAAAAATTGACTACATTAATGTATGATCTTTTGTATGGCAAAAGGTGCCATCAACAAAGTCAGTACATTATAATTTTGGATGAAATATTTGCAAAGGCAGTCAGAGAAGTGCTCTTCAGTTTGACAGGGAAGAGATAACTTAGTGGCAAAACATGGCAGAGAAGATGAATAGACAAGTTGTAGAGAGAGCAAATCCAAGTGGCTGGTGATAGGGCCATCAAAAAATGTTTAGCCTTGGTAATTGTTGGGGAATACAGATTAACGTCATAATATGAGATAACAGTATGCAGTCAAACTGACAAGAAATAGGAATGCTTTTTGCTGTCCCAAGGTTGTTCTTCCACTCCGCTGGTGGAAACATAAATCATTAGAGCTCTTTCAAAAAGCAATCTGGCAACATCTATTAAAACTTAAAATTTAAAAATAAATAAATAAATAAAATAAAATACTTATGCCACTTTGGGAAATCTTCTCTTAGATGTAAAACCCCAATATATAAAGGATGGATGAACATGTGTATTTATTATAAAATTGTTCCTACTGCAATAAAACACTAGAATCAAAATAAATGCCCATCAATAGGGAAATTGGAAGAGGGGAGAAACTAGTATATGCATTCCATAGCGTTTAGCCATTAAGGTGGACAAATTAAAACATGCTAGTGGACTTGAATAGAAGTCTACAATGTTTTCTTGAGCAAAAAAAAGCAAAGTACAAGTGTATAAAAACGACTCTTTTTGTAAATCAGTGACAAAATTCCTCTAGATGAATGATAAACATGTATTCATATGTGTTTGTGTATGATTTTTCTATGCATGAAGAAAAGTATTGAGTATACATTTGGTTGGGGGGAGGTGGGTGATGCAGGTTGGTTCGGAGGGAGTCAGGGAAAATGAAAGCCAAATAGAAAAAAAATTACATAAATGAACCAATTCTATCTCAGATGTGTGATTAAGCAAAGTTATTTGAGTGGGGAGCTAGAACTCTGCTAATTTGTGGAGATGTTTGTGGTATATTGTTAAGTAAAAAGGGAAAATTGCAGAATAATGTATATAAATCTATTTTTTTAAAAAAAGTAAGAACCCTGTATGTGTGTATATATATATGCATGTATGTTTATATGAACAAAGAAAAGTATGGATGGATATACAGCCAAGTGTTAGTTAACATTGGTTACTTTGGTGGGGGGAAGGGGAAAATAAGCAGTTGTTTAATTTATATATCTTTCCATTGTTTTACTTGTTACAACATACATTACTTTTGTAATCTGAAAAACAAAATAAAGGGGGAAGATGTTTCAAAATGCAGGAAGCATTACAAGTGTTTCTGTTTTCTGACAAGCTGGCAGACTGACCTGGTCTACTTGATTCCTCCAACTCTGTCCTTCTGCTATCACCAAAGTAAAAGTAAATGTCTTGGTGTGGGACCCAGGAAATTTAACAAAAATCCCCTACCCCTGGACAAGCAGAGCAGGACTGATTCCATTTTGTGCTAAACCTGCCACCTCCTGTATGACCCCCACATAACCTGCTTATGGCTTGAGGCGCTGCCCCACCCTAGTCGAGCCGCTGGGCACACCCTCATCGGAAATCGGCTCATAACAATGTAACCCTGCTTTGTGCCCGCCAAAACTGCGCGCCGATTCTGACCGCAGTACTAGGCCAGCTCAAGTGGATACTATAGGGTAAGGTGTAATTCAATCGGCCACCTGCGTGTGGACCGACATGACTGCAACTTTCTGTGTATCCCATGGGCCACTGGCCCCTATAAAGCTGCTACGCCTCTTAGTCTCGGGGTCCAGGTCCCTGCTCCGCTGTGTCGGGTGCACTTGGACCCAAGCTCGAGCTTGTAAATAAACCCTCGTGTGTTTGCATCAGTGTCGGTTCCTCGGTGGTTTCTCGGATTCGTGATCTTGGGCACAACACTTGGTTGTTACTTGTGCTTCTGAAGAGCAAAAGTAGGTACTTTGAGAAAGTCCCAAGTAGAGAGAGGCATTTTGTTTTTATAAATAATTTTTGATTTATTAAAAAAAGTTGCAAAAACAGTTTTTAGTCTTCATCTAGTTTCACGTAATGTTAACATCTTATAGAACCTTGGTACAATGATCAAAACCAGAAAATTAACACTGATACAAACTAGTAATTATAGTCCTAGCCACTGATACCCAGTCCAAGATCCAGGCCAGATCCCATGGTGCATTTACTTGTTAATTTCTCTTTAGTCTCTTCCACTTTGTGACAGTTCCTTAGTCCTTTCTTGTCTTTCGTGACTTAGACACTTTTTTTTTTAAAGGAATACTGGCCAGTTATTTTGTAGAATATTCCTCAGTTTGGGTTTGATCCAGTATTTTCTCTGATTACATTAAGGTTATGCATTAATACTGACGTATTAAAAGTGACATATCCTCAGAGCTTGATACCAGAGGAATCTGATGTTGATGTGTCTTGTTGGTGATGTCACCAATGTGATGATCACATGGTTAAGATTCTCGCTCTTAGATTTCTCCATTCTAAAGATACTATTTCTTCCTTTGTAGTTAATCTCTTGGGCAGTATAATTTGCAGAGAGTTTTTTTTTTTTTTTAAACACATTCCAACAGATTCTGGCTCCAGAGATTCTGTTTGATTAGCTCTGGCTAAGGGTTCAAGTGAAATCCCTAATAATTCTAATGGGCAGACAAGAGTAAACTTTGGATGTGGATCGCACACCTAATCCTTAGCCCTGAAACAAAATACCATCCTCACAGAACAGATAATAATGAGAAACACTGAACTATGACATTTATGAATAATCTTTAGTAACCTAGGTGTGTTAGTTTTCTAGTGCTACCTAACACCTAACAAATTATCAGAGACTTATCTTAAAGCCACATTTATTACCTTGCAGTTTCTCTGAGTCAGGAGTCCAGATACAGCTTAGCTAGGTCCTCTGATTCAGGGTCTTACAAGGCTGTAGTCAGATATTGGCCAGAACAATGGTGGTCTCATCTGATCCTCAACTAGGGAAGGATCTGCTTGCAAGATCACATGGTTAGTTACTAAGGGTCTCAGTCACTTGCTGGCTGTGAACCAGAGGCTACCCCTAATTCCTTACCACATGGGCCTTTCTGAAGTCCAGCCCTCTAGAGAGGATAGAGAGGCTGGATATGGAATTATTAATTGATTCTGGCTATGTGAGGAAGCCTCTATAAAAAACACAATAGGATGGGGTTTGGAGAGTTTCCAGACTGATGACATACCAAGAGGGTAACACATAACAGGAGGGTGACACACCTCAACTCCACAGGATAGAGAAGCTCCTGTGCTTGGGATCCTCCTAGATTTAGCCTTATGTATCTTTCCATCTGGATGTTCATCTATATCTTTTAGCATATCTTTCTATGATAAACTGGTAAACAGCAAGTATAACTTTTCCTGAGTTCTGTAAGCTGCTCTAGCATATTAATCAAATCTTAGGAGGGTGTCTTGGGAACCTCCGCATTAAAGCTGATGGATCAGAAGACAAGTAACAACCTAGACTTGTTATTGCTATCTGAAGAATCTGGGCAGGTGGTGATGGTGAGGGGATAGTCGTGTGGGATTGAGCCCTTAATTTATGAGATCTGGTGCTATCTCCAGGTAGAGAGTGTCAGGATTGAGTTAAAGTGTAGGCCGGCAGCTGGTATCACAGAATTTCTTGGAGTAGGGAAAACACCCATACTTTGGGTGTCGGAAGTGTTATCAGTGTGATAGTAGCATGAGACGAAAGGAGAAATATGAGAAGTGACATTTTTCCTACACACCTTGTAAACAGCAAAGAGCCTGTTGTATTCCCAAAAAGGAACCTACAGTTTTAGTGTACATGAGAAGTGTTGGAAAATCATTTCCCTTACACTCTTACCTTCTGGTTGATTCCACTTTAAAAATTTAGTTTGAAGCTAATTAAGTTAGAAACAAGCCAGTGGATTGGAGGGGTAGGGAGTAAGGATAGCCTGATAATATGGAATGCCACAGACTCTCAGTTAAAATAGTAATATGGCCCAATATAAATTAAAACGGGAGCTTCAAGGATTAAAATTTATTATATAAACTCTAATTTATAGAAGGGTGATTTTCCCTTCTACTTCTCCATTTGATGGTCTAATTTTGCTTACCTTAAACCAGGAAGGAATATATATATTATATATTATAACATCTTATATATATTGTAACATATATATCAGATATATAAAACTTAAGTATGTAACTTTATATGTGTGTGTGTGTGTATATATATATATATATATATATATATATATATATATATAAAACTTAAGTACATACTACAACCTTAATGCTGTGGTCCCATCCGTTAGAAGC